TACGACGACGACGAGACGGAGAGGAGGAGGAGGAGGAGAGAGAGAGAGAGAGAGAGAGAGAGAGAGAGAGAGAGAGAGAGCTCGGTGTAGAAGGTATAAGGTATAAGCTTCTCAGTTTGGACAGCCCCTGGAATGCGGCGGTCGCGGGGCGGACGACCGCGTGTGCACCACGTCGCTTACACCACGTCGCGTGTATGCGTGTATTTTCAATGCCGCGTGTATTACGGGGCCCAATGACGCGCCAACAGTGCACCGCGCCCCGAGCTTCGGCCGCGCGATTCTCCACACCCCTTCCCCTATGTCCGCACGAAGGTTGCTATTTGCTAAAGAAACGCAAATTGAAAAAAGTTTCTTAAATATGTATTTTAACGTACGTACGTAAAATTATTATGTGAACATACATATAGAAAATTACAGCTACGTGATAATAAAAAGGAGGATAAATATTCTCCTATATATATAAAGTAGTTTACGCTTAATTTATACCGACGGAACTCAATTTCCATGATCCCGATTAGTTCTACAATGTCTTTATAGGTCATCCGGAAAATTTTAATTAGCAGTTCTAAAAACGTAACTCCGATTCTAAATTTTCTGATATATATATAGGTATATCCATATATAAACGAATAAGATTCTTTTCTGTTCTCAAAATTAAATCTTCCCCGTGCATGATTTTTCAGATGTGTAAGCGCATGGCTTACAGATTCTTCACTCCTATTTTATACGTATATGCGATTTCTTTTCGATGATTCTTGTTTTATAGTTTGAACTACAGTTGCGTGATAAAAAAATCTAACAAATCGGAACGATGGAAATAGAAGTAAAAGCCTGACACAAACAAACAAACCTGACACAAACTCGCGTCTGCGATTTCTTTTGAATCGTAGTTTCTTACAATATAAATAGAGCAAAAAATATATATTTATCAAAATTAACATTGCATTGTATATGTATAAGTATAAGTATAAAAGACATAAGGGATCTGTAATCATCAGTGATTCGATCGAGATGAGTCCGATGATTTGTTAGGTGTCATCTTGACGACACTTTCCGAGTTGTCCGAATTTCCAGCTTTTGTTTGATTGACGCTCGATATGCTTAACAAATACATATACATTTCCACAAAAGAATTTACATCGTATTTCAGTCGCTATTGAAAGTCGAGCAATGACACGGCATGTCTATCAACGGAAAAAAAAAAAAAAAAAACGTGTTATAATAAAACTCACGTCTTCATTCTTTACCCTCGAAATTATATCTAATGGCTGAGTAACACGGTTCTAAAGGGATTGAGTCAATTAGAAAATGGCAAGGGGAGAAGGTGACGTTACACGCCGACTCCTGTGTCTCGCGAGTCCCCGTTCGCGTGACTGCTTTGTACGAAGAGACCAAGAGACTTTAACGACAGGCCGTGATAAATGTCCCTTCCAAATAAACGGCATATTTCTCCGGGAATCTTCGTCACTCGGTTCGTATTTTTTTTTTTTTTTTTTTTTCCCCCGCAAAATCACTTAACGATTACCGGTTGACCCTGATTTTCCTCTGGCAAATGATAGACCTGCATCTGCACGACTTCACATTCGTGTATGTCCCTTCGTAGGTATGCCTGCACCTATACGTATATCCGGCCGATCGGTTGAAAAGGCAGATGTGTGCGGGTCCAGTCGACGTCAGTTAAATACACAACGCCACTTTTGGCGAGTCCGTATTTACATTAAGCCAGTCACCTCGGGGCCTCGTACGTTAAATCAGTCGTCGAATCGGGGATCGCGAAATTGAGCCGTCCGGGGTCCGTTCACCGCGTTCTAAAAGAGCGGGAGATCAATTTTTATCAGAATTAGTAAATGAATAGAGCGCTCTTAGAAAGGTGGTTTCCAATTTCATACATTTCAAATGGCCCACTTTCCTTTTACGCGAAAACAGAAAAATGGAGCTTGCTACAATTAGCGGACACACTCGTGCTCAATTTATCCCTCTTCCAGACTCGGACGGCAAGATCGTTTTTTTTTTTTTTTTTTTTTACTTTCTATCGATTTTTTATCGGAGCGAGAGAGAGGGAGAAAAAAAAAAGGTCCTCCAATCTCCCCTCGCAGCCTACGAGGCTCTTATTTACGAAAAAGAAACTCCGGCTTTTACGACTGCTCCCGTCATTCTGACTGTCGCGTTATTACCGTGATGAGATTCAGCGAATATTACATCGATAAAAGTTCCTCGAATGAGCAACCGGGCAGGCAGGCAGGCACGTCATGGGGTACTGGGTCGTCCCCCTGGGTCTTGAAACGCACGCTTAAGGAAGCACTTTGGGAGCCTGGCAGAGTAATTGCATACAAGAGTCTGTCAAAGCGAGCAACACGAGCGTGCACAAGCACGACGTGGACGGGCCCTGCCCCGAGGACGACATATATTGAGACGGAATTTCTCATCGCGCGGGCCCCGCCAGATTCGCATCTCGCGCGCGCGCGCGCGCGCGCGCGCGAGAGAGAGAGAGAGAGAGAGAGCAACAAGAGTTTTCCGCGACAAACGCGACGGTGTGGATTTTTCTATCTTTCAACTAAAAGAAAAAACTAAAGAAAAACATAACCGATTCCTCGAAAGTAGAATCTTAGGTGCTGAATATTTATATGAAATAAATTTAAATAATTATATATTATTACCAATCACGTGCCGTTATTTTTAGCAGACTTACAACGTGGCAGTTCTATAACAATTCGATAATGTTTTTCATATCGATTAAAAAGTCTCCCTTATTGGGGGATTAAATCCCCCTTTTGGGAAATATGTATTTTTTTATTTTTATTTGTTTGTCGCGATCGATTGAAAATTCAGGGGCACACTCGTCCGTAATCTTTTGCTTTCTCCGATTACGTATTCCCGCGAACTGCGTAACCTGGTGCTTTTTCATACAAAACTGGCCTGGAAATCTAATCTCCCGAGAGCAAAAAGCGGTCTTGCAAATCGAGATGCGAGATATTCGGTGATGAAGCCATATGTGTAAAATGGAAAAAAGAATTCTCTCAGTTTTATTTCGACGCAAAACACGCGTTGCGGAAAATGTAAGCAACATATTACCTCTGAAATACATTTCTATACCTATCTCTCTCATTCTTCGCGCGTCTCTCTAATTATTTTATAAATTTTCATAAAGTACTTTAATATTATTTTCTGATTCGCAAGTTACGGAATCAACTTTCCGCTTTTGTACCTCTCAACTTTCTCTTCCCTTTTGCTTTCCTCTCTCTTCTTTAGAACGTTCTTTTTTTTTTTCCGTATGCAATTGCAAATCGAACAGAGCAATAAAAAACTCAACTTTATTAATATGAATTGTCATTTTTATCTGTCATTTTTTTAGTCACTTTTTCTTTATACGAATAAAGTCTGAACGCTTGTTTTCCTTAGCGTGATAAGATCCTGGCATTAATTACTCCCCCACAATTATCCGGACACTCGTTAATGACCTTCGCGTTCGAGAAAGTTTCGCATAATTACTTTCTTTTGCAGATTATTTCTGTTCAGCTAGATTTCTCGTGCGAAATATGGTGAAGTTTCTGCATTATCTCGAGCGACATGTTTATACAACATTTCCTTTCATTCGTCAGGTTTGAAATCGCGTATTGCAACGCGTTCTTTTCCCTTATTGTCGCTCGTTACTCTTAATACCATTGAATAATGGAATTCTTCGTTGCACCTATTTAGACACCTGTGTTCAAACTCGATCTATTAACGAGAAGCGAAGTAAAGTGTGAAGAAATAAATTGAAACTAAAGCGAAATGTTATGGTAAAATTGAGGAAATGATATTGATACAAAATGACTAACTCGCGAGTTTATCGCTTCGCGATGCCGTGTGAAAGACTCATCTCGTTCCTTTCCGGGATTTCACTTTGATCATAAAAGAGAGCTGCAGAACGACGACGACGACGATGATAATAATGATGATGATGATGATGATGATGATGATGAAACTCGTAAGACGTGTAACACGCATGATAATTTGCTAGGTCTTTCGACGGTGTTAACTCCTGGAGACATGAATCTGGAACGGCCGACAATGGACGGCGGACAGCAGCCGCTCTTCTTAGGCAGCACTTCCGGCTGGGGTGGTATCTCCAGCCCCCAACAATCCACCGTGCAGAGTGCCAACACCCCGTCGGAACACTACGGGGGACCACTGAGTCTGAACATCTACATATCTGATTCGGGTCACGAGATACTCCGTCCAAAGCCGCGGCGGTAAGCGCTTTTCTTGTTTCATCGCTCTTGATAATCGATGCCGATTTTAAGATCAGATAAAGATCTGATTAATGGTCGTCTGGCAGTCCGCTAGATGCGATAAGGATTGATTAAACTTGTCCAGGAATCGCACCGCGCGTCCGATGGTCGATCCCGTACACTGAAATTAGGTAATGTTCAACGTGTCATTTTCGTTCATCGTTATCATTCGTTATTTTAAGAAATTGGTTCTACGCAGAATTGGATATTATGAAATATATGTATAGGTGACTTATTTTATAAATAATACAATAAATAATAATTTTTCTATATATAAAAAATTTTTGAAAATTGAATAACTTGAATTAAAAAAATGGAACGCATTGGTGTTAAGGAAGTTAAAGGGATCGTTAAAACAGAAAGTATTTGATAGGTGAAAGAGTCTCGGAGATTTCAAAGCCATCTTTATCTTTTTTTAAATGGAACTGTTGTACTTTTTTGTATGAAAGAATGTGACAAGACGAATTCATTCATATTGTATTTATTTTATCAAATTTTCAAAATAAATAAAATTATTGCGGATTTCAAGTTAAACTTCAACCACACATTACATTGAAATAAACACATACATTGAAATTAGGTAACGTTCAACGCGTCATTTTCGTTCGTCTTTGTTATCATCCGTTACTTATTGTCATATCCGAAAACTGGCTTCACACAATTGCAAATAAAATATATGATAGAATAAACTCCAAAAATTATTACCTACAGTAAAATAAGTAAGATTCAAAAGAGATACCGTCTCGGGTTTCCTCGCTTTTTTTTTTTTTTTTTCCCAATAGCTGAAAGAAGGAAAAAAATCTTTTTCTAGTTATCTAGGTCGAGTCTCATAAAATATGTAAGAAAATCTGAAAAGAATCGAATACGTCGAACACAATGGATATCCACGATAAAAATCGCTGAAAAGCCATAGGGTACAAAGCCGAGGACGTTGAGCCCGAGTAGACACGAGTATTAGTTAACCTTTCGGGTCCTCACACCTGCATGATGCGCGAATTCCTGAGTGTATTCGTGAGTTCCTCTACCGTTAAAGCAAAAGAGCAAAGTCAGTTGATATCTGGTCGCAACATCGCTGTTCGTCGACTACACGACGGTTCGTTTGTGCGAGATAATTTAAATCTAGACCTAACGTGGAATCATGAGTCCGATCCCACTTTCATCTCGGACTTTCATCTGACACACTTCAACAACGTATCATGATATCGCGTATCGTGAAAGAAAAAAAAGGATTGAAAATACCTGGATCGATCTTGACACTCGTAATGTTCGATTTGTATATAGAGACCAAATTTTTAATAACGATCAGTCGAGAATTGACGTTCGCGTTTTTCACATTAAATTTTGCTTCGCGCGCAATAAAAGACTCATACTGCAACGAATTTGTTATATACAAAGAGACTTTTCTCTCAAAATTTACTCTTTAGGGATACAATTTTTAAATCATGATAATCATGGAAACGACATTTCAAAAAACTTGATGTGATTTTTTTTTCTTTTTATTTATTAATATCTATATATTCGTCCAATCAAATATGGAAGATCTTCCGTAAATCCGCTTTGTGTTTGAAATTTAAGCATACCTTCCTCTCTCGCCAATTTTGTACACAAAAAAATTTTTTCTCTGCGAGCTCTTTATCACGATAAGACACGTAAGCCCTATTTTCTTTTCTTTCTCGCGTGAAAGATGCCGAGTCGCGAGAAAGCATTCGGACTACATCGTAGCGACGATGAGACACCGCAAACGCGCATCGCATCCGAATAGCTGACGTTTTGCGGTGCACTGGATACGCATTTCACGCATTCTCCGGAATTCCCGGTTGTGTGTTGGTGGACCACCACCATCGCGCGCTGCCATTGTGCGGCCTTTCGTCCCATGCTCTTACGCTCGTTAGCGTTAGAAACTTTTACTCTCGCCCCGCGTCTCGTTACACGTCGACGTTCAATCGCCCGATTCATTTTCTCGCGGCGCGGCGGGTGAATTAGGATGAAATAGAAATTAGCCTGGCATTATGGGCGTGCGCGAGCGATCGTGCGAAGGGAGAGCTCGCATTTAATTAGTTATCCGAAAGTCGGAAACTCGCGGGAAAAGCCGCATCGTTATCTGGGAACGACAACGACGACGAAGACGACGACAAGAGGAGGCAGCTCGATTAAGAATGCGCGTGAGGGAAAAGGCCGATTCCAAGGCGAATCCGCGGTTAGATATTTGGGTTAATGGCTCTTTCCGCTTTACTTCACCGCCTTCCTCCCTTTTTCCGTTGCATCGCCGTCGATCTCGAGCTAGCTTTTACTACCGGCGGCTTCGGGAGAGAGGTCAGGGACGAGGCGCCTTCATTACCTTCGTGCGTAGGATTCTACACCAGCTGCTGCTGATGCTTATTACGACCGGAAACAAAGCACCAGAGGCAAAGATATATGTAGAATTAAATAAATAGGCGAAATTTTGTCCTTATACTAATCATTCTACACAGCCATTGAAAGGAGAAAATAATGGAGGCAAAAAATAAATTTTTACTTTGAAGAATTTCTTTGTAGTAATTTTTTAATATTTTTTCTAAAATAATAAAATTCAATACATGAAAGTAGTAAGATTATGTATTTATAGTCGAAACTTTTCTTATATTTATCAACCTAGGCAGCGATTGAAAGAAGAAAGTAATGGAAGCGAACATCATCCTTCATTTTAAAGAAATTTTTTGCTGTAATATATTTTCCCGAAATAATAAAATTCAATATAAGAAGGTACAAGATTGTTTATTTTACGAAATTTTCTTAATACTTATCGATCTAGGCGACGATCGAAGGGAGAAAATAATGAAAGCGAGGATCTTCATATTAAAGAAATTCTTTCCTAATTCCTAATTATATAGTTTTCTGAAATAACAAAATTCAGTATAAGAAAGTACAAGAGTGCGATATTTACGAAATAATTACGAGATTACACTCTGCAATAACATCTTTATGGTAACCTTCTATCGTATACCTATTTTATTTTTTGTAATAGAAAGAAATATATA